ATCCCAGCCCAGCCCTTTTCAATTAATCACTTCAACTCCCTAAATCTCAATTTCCCTGGCTGTACCATGGGGATGGTGTGAGGGTAAAAGCACCTGACACAGTAGGTGCTCAATAACTGAATATAGAGAGCACTGTAACACCATCTGCTCATGTATGAGAAAAGCTGGAGGATGCAGTCCTTGTGCCTCTTCCCCCCAAACAGGTCTTTCTACAACCCAGTTTCTCTCTCTTGGAACTGTGGGATGCACACCACTTCCTGGTTGGGGGGACCATGGGGAGGCTGAAAGCAAGTGGCACTTGCCTGCCCCTGCCCAGTTTCTCCTGTTGAGGTATCTCTGTCCTTGTCCGAAGATGTGGAAATAATCCACTATCCAGCCGTCCCTTCCTGTACCGCCATGATCCTGAGAGTGAGGGAGAGAATACAGAAGACTGTCAGCCACCATGCTGAATGCAAACTCCCCTGAGGCTTATTGAGCAGAAGGGGCAGAGGTCACAGCCAGGGGTAACAGGGCCAGACAGATTAAATATACTTATTGACCTATTGCCTCTCAGGGAGAGGCAGTGTAGCTTGACACTTAAGGTCTTGATACTTAGTGTCTGCTGTCCACAGACAGGTTCCAATTCCAGCTCTGCCACTAACAAGCTGTGTGACCTATGCCAATGCATCAGTTTTTGTGGACTTCAAGTTTCTTATCAGTAAAAGGAGGGCTGCTGTGAAATTTAAGTGAGATAGTTCCAGTAAAGGGCTTGGCATAGTAAAGGATCAATAAACTATCTTCATTTAAATGAAAATAATACCTACCACAAATGGTGGTTGTGATGACTATTAAATATTTACAAATGGAGCATAGAAAGTTTCAAAAGTGTGTATGCTATATTATTTTCAAGCTTTTAAATACCCAAGTTTTCCTCCCTCCCCCCCCTTCCCGACTTTGGCTCCTTCTGTCATAAAAGTACATGAGTAGACACAAGTACACACTCAAGCATAGCACACACAGATATGTCCATATATATCTGTACTGAACACACACGCACATGCAAACACCCGGGACCACAAAAACCATTAAGATTTTGTTCATGAATAATCCTCATTAAATCATACCCATATCATTGTGACATATATAGACACCAGTATTGGAGGCAAAAGTGGTGAAAAGAATTGGAGCCATCAGCAAATAGCCTCAGAATCTTTGATTGCAAGGGAGAATTCTGCTGGGAAGGGGCAACACCCAGAAGGGAAAGGCCTGTGGAGAAGGGAGGTCCGCAGAGATTTGGGAAACAAGTCCCAGCGAAAGAGCCCACCCTGCAACTACATTGAACAGAAGGCATGGCGCCTGGCGGATCTAGACAGTTCTCTTTGTCTTGTTCACTGGAGTCACACGGGTGTTCTCATTTTCCTGCTTGTAGAGAGTTTACAGCGTGAGGGCACCCAAAAGGGCAGGTTTGTGATGTCAAGAAGGACGTTTTGGAGAGGGAGAATTTGAGCCTGATTCCCAGTCTTGCAGAAACCCAAAGTGAAATCATTGTCAAGTTCAAGGATGGAAGGCGATTCTGTGAACCCAGTGAGCTCGTGCTCAATACCTGTCGCCCCTCTAGGCCAGCTGCTGGGTTTCCTTAAGAAAACGTGTGTGAGTTGGGGACGCTTTCCTGCTGGTGTGGGCGCTGGAGTGAGATGCCTTGATTTGGGAAGTGGTCCCTGCCACCAGCGCCACCCTCTGAGGACATAGACAGCTGGGTTCTCTGGAGCGCTCCTATACCTGATCAGTTTTCCGCAAAATGGGCGGAACCACGTGGCTCTTGAAGTAACGGCGGGCGTGGCAGTCCTGCTGAGCGTTGTAAGGCGGAATCGCTGACCAGAGCTTGGGCCTCAAGTGCTCATAGGTGCGGGCCATGGTGCTCACGGCCACTCCATCCAAGATGAAGCTCTTCTCCAATCGCAGAGGACACTCGCAGAAGTGCGCCATCCCAACCACAGCCGTCTCCGAGGGCCTCTCTGTTAGGATTGGAGGGCGGTAGGCGGGGGCTCCTCTGCGCATTGTTACGTGATGTCTGGCTGCGACGCAAACCCCATTGTCCCTATCCAATGGGGTAGGCTTTTAGGGCTGTGGGGAAGTTGCTTGCATGGCCCTGAAGTGAGGGATGAGTAGGAGGAGACTATGCAAGAATAGGAGACAAAGTGGGAAGAAAAGGGGATTACTGAAAGTGGGCCTTGTGAGGGCTGCCGGCCCAGCTTCCTATTTTCCCCTAAGATCAAGGTTTTATGCTCCCACTGTATCAATTACGTTGAAAAGTTTGTATGTACCCAGAATGGATCAGAAAGAGTTCAGATAGCACCTATTTATAACTCATTTTATGGAACTAGAAGTTGAAACGCAGAAAGGTTGGAATATTTCCTAAATCCATTTAGCGGCAAATCCAGAATCAGACTTCAGGCCTCCTGACTTCCAGTAAGTCCATTTAAGGCACTTTCCCCCTCCCCACTCAATTCATGAGCTAGTTAGTATTCTTCCTGTTAAGAAATTTACTCCCCCCCCAAAAAAAAAACAGTAGGTTGACACATTATCATATTTTTTTCTCTGGCAATTTTACATATGATTGGCTACAGTTAAATGTGAACAATGATTTTCTCTATTTATTGTGACTACTGGTGATTTTTATTTCCTTCTTTATACTTTTTACTTACCAAATTTTCCCCTTGAATAAACCCTTGTATAGATGCTTTACGTATCAAAGTGCCTTATACAAACTGCTCCTCACACCGAGGCACTATTATCCTCACTTTACAGGCTCAAAGGCTTCTTTTATATTTACTAACTTATTATATGAAGGCACACATATTAATTAGGAAAAGGTTGCATTATATCTATACACAAAAATCACTAATCCTGGTAACTCTAAGAATATTTCATCATTCTACAGAGAGCTCATATATATACACATATGAGGAACTTCATACATGTATCTGACAAAATGGAATAAAAATGATTCATTTTCAATGGAGGACCTGGGGGCTTCATGTCAAATTAGATTTTAAATTTACCAGGCTGGAGGATGAGGTAGTGGAGGAAGCCAGATCTTTTAGATGTCCGAATTTGTTTATTCCTAAAACCAAAACTGGCTAAGTCTAAAGTACTGATTTTCACTCTTGGCTGCACCTTGGAAACATGAGCAGTTTTAAAGTACTGATGTCTGGGCCCCACCTCCATAGTGACTCAAATTTGTCTGGGATATGGCCTGGAAACATTTTTTGACTCTAGTTGAGAATCAGTTCTAGTTCTGGTGCATTCTATCCCTCATCTTGGACAAGAATAGTCATCTCACAAAATGACTATGTGCTAGTGTCCGCATGCTAATTTTCAGCCTTGCATTATACTCAACTTACAGATAACATTTAAGACTATTTTGATACTAGACACATAAACATGAACTTAAATCTATTTCTTGACACTATACGTTGTATGTCAAATATAATTGAATAAATTTTATAAAGTCTATTCCATCATCTCTAGGCTAGACTACTGATCCAAACCATTTTTCCCAGACCTTGAATATCGCTTAGAGCAACTTGTACATTTTGGTAAGAAAAGCTCAATATTCAATACCTTCAGGCAGAATCGGGCAGGATTTATGCCTATTATACTAGCATAGCATAATCATCTCCTTTTGTCAAACTAGGGATTGGCAGGTTATGTGGCCATCCTGTCAAAACAAAACCTGCAGATATTAATCTTCCACAAGAGCAAATTTATATGGTAATTATCATGTGCTAGGTTTTACAAATCTACTCAAACGTGTGAATTTACCCCAAAGTCTGTAACTCCAAGTGTGCATACATACATGTGTATACCTGGTTTTTACTCACATCAATCCTTGGACTCCATGAGTGTTTCTAGGATCTGACCTGACACTCTACCTCATCTCAAATAGCTTTCTATCTGCAGGGCAGTTACCTGGGGTAATCTGTCATCAAGCAGTACTTGCAATTTATTTCAGAGACTGCAAACCCAAATAACTAAAGCTTTTATAGCAGCAACTGGAAAAGTCTCAAAAGTCCTGTATGCACTCACTAAAGTGCACAAACTGTTTATCTTTTTTTAATACATGCCCACAGAAGTTTGCACTTAGTTTCGTTTTACAAAGAAGGGTTAGGTGTGTCAAGAAGATTGACATGTAAAAATGAACAGGAAGGCAAGCGACGGGAACAAATAATTTTTATTTTTTTACAAATACGCCAAAGAATCATGCAATGCTGCCAGCATTGGATGCAATCCTGGGCCACAAATCTGCACACTCCTTTGCAACTGGTCCTGTGATGGCAGAACCTGCATAAAAGAATGATGAGATGGATAAGATCAGAAGGTCCTTTGCCTGTTGTACTCATAGCCCAAAAGTTAAATCATCCAATCTCAAAGATCTAGGGAACAATGTGGATTCTTTCCGACCTTTCATTTCGCCTTTATTGTTTACGATGACCCCTGCGTTATCTTCAAAATAAAGAAACACGCCATCTTTTCTCCGGTATGACTTTCGTTGTCGAATTACCACCGCTGGATGTACTAAGAGGGGAAAAAAAAGACAGCAGTCATTAATCTTGTCAGGTCCCAGTGCCATTACAAGAAAGCAGTTTACATGCTGTCTAGTCTCCCAACATTTCCTATTTGGACAGAATATAAGCAGGAAATTTGCTAAGCACTTTCCATACTTTTTCCCACTTAAGCCAAGAGATGGGTACTGTTAAGATCACAGTATCACAGAACAAGGAATGCTTTCCTATCCCCCAGATTGAATGAGCAGAGACCAAGCTGTTAACTCATTAGGAACTATTCCATCCCAGTATATCAAAACTTCCAAGTTCATACTTTTATCTAAAAATTACTGCTTCCAAGAATTTGTCAAAATTAACTATGTTCCATGCTTCAGGTCTTACAAATATAAACTCACACACCAATTTACCCACCAAAAAACCCTGTAACTGTTAGGGTGCATATGTACACACACACTTCGAGTATTTCCAGGATCTTGACCATACACGCTACGTTATCTCATATGTGAAAATGTGGGATTAATAAATACTGCATGACAGACGCACAGAATAGAATCATCTAAGATGATCATGCGTATCTGCAATTTTTTTAAAATACAGGACAATCACCTGTATTTTAGATGTCTCATTTACATCGAAAAATTTACAAGTTTTTTTTTTTTTGCACAGAAATCAGGAAAGATATACAAGATATTAACAATCATCTCTCGGAGGTCTAAGAGTTGGGTAATTAAAATCCAACTTGTATTTACTGTGTAATTAACTATGTTTAACTTTTTAAGGAACCATTTTCCAGAGTCCTAAGTAACTTTTAAAAACCTACGTGCACTAAAGTGAACACTTTTCCAGACCTTCAAAACAAAACATGCACTGCACTTGAAAGAACTAGAGTCAGACACACCTGGGATTAAATCTTGACTGATACTAGCTTAGAGACCTTGAACAAGTTAATCTTATGGAGTTTAAATTTTCTCTTGTAAAATAAGGATAACAGTTACTATTTCCACATTCGAGATCAGACAGTGGAAAGTACAGGGAGCTTGGCTATCTTTGAGCCAAGTATTATCTATGTAGGTAGACAGCTTCTGATCAAGTTTTTAACAACGATACACACCAATAGGTAACTAATGTTTACTGAGAGCCTCCTCTGGTAGAACCTCATCTACTTATAAACTATAGCACACCCTGTTATCTAACCCACAGTGATAACCAATTACTCTGCTCTTCCCTTGACTGCTCCCCAGGCCAGATCAGACCCAGCAAATGTTCTAAGAGGAAAGCCTGTCCTGTCCAGTTGCATGCAGATCCCAATCTACATATTGACTAATCAATGCTTAACCACATGCTACTTACTCCTTGCCTACCAAGCCCTCAAGAGGATGTTAAAGGTAAACAAAGTTAAGATTTCTGACCAAAATGCTAAAAAGAGGGGTGGGGTTAATATGTAGGCCTAAAAGGAGTAACTGCCACATGTGGCTGAGAGCCATCGCATTTCTAAGAGACGGCTAGGACTTCTCAGGAAGAGCAAGCTATCCCAGGGCAGACAGACTAAGCAGGCACAGGAGAAAAGTTCAGGAGCTGAAAAATTAATGTGCACCAAGCATCAGAACAAGCTCTACAGCTAGACAAGACATTACAGGTCAGAAGGGCTATAAGGCCTCCCCCTTTAATTCATATATCTATGGGGAAATCTTTGGGGGAGTAATGCATGATTAAGTAATGAGCAGCTCCCTGTTTTAGTTTCTATCATAGAGGTTTAGAAGCAAACTTGCCAAACCTGACAAGTAACAATCTTGAGTTAATCCTACAGAAAAAAAGAAACTGCTGTAAAGAAGGAAGAATACCATCTGTTATTCTGTACTTGAAAAGAAAACTTGCCCAAAGTGACATCAAGTCTTAAAGCTGTGATCTCACCTGGCTGAGCACTAAACCACCTATTAAAACACTTTATTTACTAAGTACCACCGTGTTCATTTGTAGCCAAGAACCCGGCAATGAATTAAAGACCTCAAGTGAAAAAGACAACCCTAAATGTCACACAAGACAGGGCTGGTTTCCATAGGGGTAGGTATGTGAGGTGGCAGAGTAAAGATGTGCGGGGCTGGGGGCGGCTTACATTGGAAGCCAATGACGAATTTAAATAAAGAAGTGACAAGACTTATATTTTTTTTAAGAGATGAAATCTGGCTTCAGTGTGGCAACTACATTTAAAGAGCCAACGGGAAGAAGAAATACAGTAAAACCAGATAGGGTAGAGAATGGTCTCTAAGACAGCAAGAGCAGAACCTCAATTGCAGATATTTATCTCACACTGCCTCTCAAAGGAAATTAAGCTTTAAGAGGTCTTGAGAATGGTAAAATTATTGTTCCATTTTCCAATAATGGGAGAAGTCTTCAACCGTCCATCAAGAGGTAAGGAGGGTTTGGGTTTCTCTACTCACCTTTCTTTCTGAGCTCTGGTTTGCCCTTCTTGACTGTGGCCATCACCATGTCACCCACACCAGCAGCAGGAAGTCTGTTCAGTCTTCCCTTTATCCCCTTCACAGAGATAATATACAAATTTTTGGCTCCTATAAAAAGATGTAAACAAAAATGACTTTTTTGAGGGCCTATTAGGCATTTCTGCAGTGTAATATTTCCCCAACATTTCCAAAGCCTCTCCCTCCACTCACACTCGCTCCTCCTAAGGTGGGACACCTTGTCACACTACCGATTGAAGCGAAACAACACAACATGCTGCCACTTCACCCAAAAGCAGTGTTTTACTTTGCCCTTTCTTGACGGCTCAGTGGGTCATTGGCAAAAGGCCCAATGAGTGCTTTTAAAAGGGGGAGTTTGGCAGGGTGCAGCCGAAGGTCTCACCTGTATTGTCAGCACAGTTGATTACGGCTCCTACCGGAAGGCCCAGAGAAATCCGGAATTTCGCACCAGAGGACCCACCACGTCCTGTGGGTAGAAGAAACAGGAGAGGTCACTGTCCAGTCGTGGTTCAGAATTCCCTTCACATTCTCAAACTACAAGTTCATTCGCATATACTTTCGGAAACGGTACATTATACATTCGCTCGCTCTAGGAATCCACCTACTCCCTCCCCATGTGCCACCCAGTTCTCATGTCAAACAGCTATTCCTCACTATTACCACCCTTACGTTTAGATTAAGGGACCTGGCTCGAACTTTTGCAGCACGGAGTTCTTCCTGCAAGGCGGGAACCGCACAAGTCCCTTACCAATCCAACTTCCACCACATTACTGCAGCGCTAGGCGCGGAGCGATACTGCGGTGTTCGATTTAGAATCATGTCCGGATTCTGCCGGCTCAGCTCTCCAGGGCTCCCCACCGCCACTTTCGAGGGCCCTATCTGAGCCCTCGTGGTGTCCCTCCTCACCCTCTCCGGCCCGGAGGAGAGTAAACCGTCCCAGCTGCCCATGGCCACCGCTCCTTGCAAGGCCAGCAGCCACCGCACGGCAGATGGCGAAAGATCCCCCAGAACCAAACCTCACCTCGCTTCGACATCTTGAGCACCGGAAAAGGACAAAAAGGAAGTAGGAACAAAGGATGCTGGGATATGAACGTTGCCGCCCCGCCCACCTTCGTCACGTGACCAGGAGTTTGCTCAACGCGCTTCATAGGGCGCCGTCTTATTACGTGGTAAGTGCTGAAGCTGGACGGTGATAGGGTTGAGCGCTGCCGAAGCGAATGAGACCTTAAGACTCCTCTTTACGAGCCTGAAAGTAGTTGGGAACACTGGCGCCTTGGTTGTTAATTTACCCAACAATCTCTTTTGAGAACTTAGTGCCAGGGACCTCGCTGGATACTAGAGATTGAGAAATGAGTTAAAACATCTGTGCTATGTGGAGGTCCCCAAAGAGCACAGGGCGTGGGAGAGCAAAAGAGAAAGAGCACTGAATGGTGTCATTAGAATGTGATGTAATTGAGAAGTGGCATTCTAGCACTACAGATAATTCCATATATGTATGCCTGTTCCCAAATGCATCTGTATTTAAGATACCTTGCTTTGTTACCCCTTTCCCAGCTTCAACCTCCACCATTCTTTTGGTTTCTTTCCTTGTGTCAATATATTCATGTACATATTAATTGAGCGCCTACATGATGCCAAATGCTGTCTTGGTCATACATTAGGTTACATTAAGGAACAAAACAAATCAAAGCTCTTTGCCCTTATGGAACTCCTCTGCTAGGGTGGCAATGAAGGTGGATATTAGATATTAAATAATAGATATAATAATTGAGGTATATAGTATGTTAGATGGTGATAAGTATTTTGAAAAATAAAAGTTGAACAAGGTAAGAGGGATCAGAAAGTGTGAGGTAGGGCAGATTGCAATTTAAAACAGAATAGTCAGGTCTACGGACATGCCACCCTGAACATGCCCTATCTCATCTGACCTCGGAAGCTAAGTAGTGTTGGGCCTGGTTAGTACTTGAATGGAAGATCACCTTGGAATACCAGGTGCTGTAGGTGTTTAAAATAAAATAAAATAGAATGGTCAGAGTGGGCTTCATGGAAGACATTAGACATTAGAGCAAATTAACATTACAGCAAAGACTTTAAGGTGAGGGAGTTAACAACACTAGTGTCTGAAGAAAAGCGGTCCAGAGAGTCATCAGCCAATAAAAGTGCTGAGGCTGGAGCATGCCTGAACAATACAGGGACCAGTGCGGAAGCCAGGTGTGACTGGGCAGAGTAAGTGAGAGGAAGAGAAATAACACACAAGGTTAGAAGGTCAGAAGTAATGGAATCCTGTCATGTAGAGTTTCGTATACAATTATGGACTTGGCATTTATAGACTGAAATGGGGAAGCATTTCTCTGTCTTAAACATGATCTGACTAATGTGTCAGAAGGATCACTCTAGTTAAGACTAGACCGTGGGAGGGGACACAAGTAAGATACAAGTAAGGAGATCTGTTAGGAAGCTCTTGCAGTAACGCAGGGGAGAAATTACAGTGTTTTGGACTTGAGTGGTAGCAGTAGAGGTAATGTGATGTGATCAGATTCTGGATGTATATGGGAGATGTGAAAGAAGGAGAGGAGTCAAAATGTCCCCAAGGCTTTGTGTCTGAGCAAGTGGAAGATGGTATTGCCATCAAACAAGATGAGGAAAGCTATGAGAGGAACAGGTTTGGGGAGTAAGAGTAGGAGTTTAATTTTGGCCATGTTGAGTTAGATGTTTAATTTTGGCCATGTTAGAGTTAGTTGTTAGATCTCAACAAAATGAGATTCAAATAGCAAGTTGGACATAGTACCCTGGAATTCTGAAGAGGAGAGATAAAATTGGGAGTTGTCAGCATATAGGTATATTTAGATAGAAGACAATATCACAAAGAAGGGTAAAGGAGACAATAGACTAAGCTCTGGGGCACTTCAACATTAAGAAGTCTATAAATCTATAAATTTATAAATCTCTCTTAACACTCTTAAAATGCCTTTACCTGATCCTGCCAGCTTCTCTAGCTACCAATTTTTCTTTTTCCTTCACTTCTTAACCAAATTCAATGCATTTCTGAATATTTGACTTCTTTACCAAATTTGTCTCTCTCTATAAATAGAATCACCATTCATCCAGGTGTTCATCTGAGACTCCTGTTCAGGTTCTTTTCAGTTTGCTTTCTAAATGTCTCTCAAATCTACCGACTTCCTCCATCTCTTCTACTACCACTCTGGTTCAAGCCACCTCCATCTCTTGCCTAAACTACTTCTGAAGCCTCTGAACGTATCTCCTGGCCTCTATTTCTCTCTCCTCCATCCACTCACTCTTCATGTAACGGCCAGGATAATTTCCTAGAAATATAAATATTGTGGTCACTCTCCTGAAAATCCTCCAATGATTTCTTTTGCTTTTAGAATCAAAGTTAAAGTCCATATCATGGCCTACTATGCCCTTGTCTGGCATCCTTCTACCTTGTCAACTTCTTCTTGCACCATGCACTCTCTTGCTCTTCAGGGTTGGCTTTTTAGTCCCCGATACTGTCCATGCTCCTGAATATCCATAGGACTCACACATGCTTGGAATAGTCTACCCTGCTTACCCTCAGCATGTATTTTATGTCTACTGATTTTTTAGGTCTCAGTTTAAATGGTTTTCTTAGGGAAATCGGCCCTGACCCTCATACTAGGTCAGGTCCCCCTGTTACAAGCTCTCTCAAAATACTGTATTTTTCTTTCATTCTATATATTACAATAAAAATATATATATGATGATTATTTGTTGAATGATACCCCAACTAGTCTTTAACTAGCCTGTAACTAGTCTATACGCTCCGTAAGGGGTGAGTCCATGCCCTTTTTGTTTAACAGCATATCCCTAGCACTTAGCATAGGAGCTGGCTCAATAAATACATGTTGAATGGTCATTGAACAAATGAAGTTTACCTCAATGGTTTTATATGCTAGCATCCTTGTGTAAAGAAGTTTTCATTTATCTATGGCAAAATTAGACATATTTGGAAAATGTAGTGTTTCCTATAAAGCTGCATTTCCTAAATTTAAAGGACTGCTTGTTTTTTCTGGGATTATGCTTTTTCATCTTTTTTGGTGTTAAAAATATTCCTTTAAATCCTAATGCCCCTTTTTTTTTTTTTTTTGTAATTTCAATAGTCTGTGAAAACCAAAGTTCTGGGAAATGATCAGTCTCTACTTCATTTCCTGCATTCGCACACTCCTTGAAGCCCTGTTTATATCCTCGTTACTTGATTGAAATTATACTCGAAATTATATATACTGAAGTTATATGAGAAAGGTCACCATGACCTACTTGTTTTAAAAAATCCAAGGACACTCCTCAGTCTTTATTTAACTTGACCTCACAGCATTTCACATTGGGACTATTCTCATCTTTTTTGTTTGTTTGTTTCTGAAAACACGTTTTAGTTACATAAGTGTTTAAATACATTACATAACATTAAAACCGAAGAGAAAAAAAATCACATGGTGTTGGGTAGTTCTTGCTAGTAAGTTGCAAGCTCTACAGCTAGCTACATGACTGACACATCAGTTTGAAATTTGTTCCCTTGTCAAAAGTTTAACTCTGGTAGAAGGTTGGCCTCACATTCTGGTGTTTGGACATCGATTAGCTAGGATATGTTTGGTCAAAAAGACCTTGATCGCAAGCCAGATATCCTTTCACCTCATTAGACGGAAGGTGACTGCCTGAAGCTCCACCCGCCTGGTCAGTTTGGAAACACCAAGGGATCTTTGACTACCAAAGTCTCCTTTTAGCGGTATAGCTGCCGTTGCTGCCTTACCCCATCCTCTCTCCTCTCAGCTTCACCGGAGGCTGTTCAGGTAGTGATATTCTCTTAAGGAAGGAAACTGTAGATACAGAGCAGAGGAGCTTCTGGCTAGACACAGCCATCTGTGACCTTGGGGCTCTGGGCTTGCCAAAACATCATGTTATTGCTTTGTTTCAGGCTGGGCACTACCAGGCACCTACTACTTGACCTCTGTTTAAATGAGGGGCTTCAAGACTAGACAGCATGTTTCTTTTCTGTTTATTGCATGAAAAAGTTACACTGGTCCAGTGGTAAAAGCAGACCCCAAATGGTTACATTACATAAGCTGTGAGTTTTTTAAAATTTTGGCAAGGAACAGAAGGAAAATTCTACTCATTGCAAGGAAATCCTCACTTAAGCTTTGGTGAGCCCAAAGCACTTAAAATCCATGAACCTTCAACTGGTCATCCATAGCCAGTCCAGTCTCTATGAGAAACTGGCATATGTTCTTGCGCTGGTCATGCTGTAGCTGAATTAATTCTCCATATTCTGCATGCTTAGTTACAGTACCATTGCAGGCAAATTTCTTCTTAAATGCCCTCATTAGTTTCTTTTTATTGTAATATCAGCAGTAGTAAGGATCAGTAGTAAGGATCTTCCTGCTATTTCTCTGTTGAATTTTTATATGGATAGAATCCTTAGTGACAACAGGAAGCAGGATATCACCTTTATTTGCATCAGCAAAGGGGTCAAAAGAGTGGAGGTTCTGGATAGTGGACATACGATACAACTCCTTTTCCTTGGTGGAAAAGGCCCAAGAAAGGTGGCTATGGGAGAAGGCAGGCAGTGGGGACAAAGCATCAGGAAGCAAGGGGGCTTAAGGGGGAGACCGCTGGGTCCTGTGCGGCAGCTCAGTGACTCTATCCCATTTTCTTAACACTCTTCATTCATGATTTCCATGATGCTAATAATAATAGAAGTTACTATTTATAGGGTGTTAATATGTGCCAGTCATTGAGTTAAACCATTTTACAGGAATATTCCTACTTGGATCCTTCCAACAACCCTGTAATGTAGGTATTATTATTCCTATTTTACAGATGAGAAAACTGAGCAATGGGTTAAGCCATGAGTACAGGATCACACAGATCATGAAAGGCAAAGCTGGAATGCCACCCAATTCTTGCTGATTCCAGCATAGGCTCTAAGTCACTATGCTATACTGCTCTCTCCTCCTTCCTTATGGTACTGTCTCATTGTATTTCCGTGGGTGATCATACCCACTCAATAGCTTCAGTTACCATCTATATGCTGATCACTCCTCAGTCTATATCTCCAGCCCAGATATTTCTGCTAAGCTGTAGCC